TACTCGGCTGCAATGTTTGCAGTGTTCTTGGCAGTTAGAAACTCTGTAGGTTGCAGGGAAGGCTGTTTCGTATAAGCATGAGCACCTCATGGTCTCACAAATTGACTTGCAGCCGCATTTTCCTACGATTGAGAACGTTTTCCCTTTTAATGGGATACAAGTTACGCAAGAAGAGGCGGTCGGGCGAATCATCGTCCATGCGAAAGATATGGTGGAGCATGGAGCCCAGAACATCCTGGTCCAGTTTTGAGATACTGACGTTCTGATGGTCATATATATTTTGTTTTTTTTCTGAAAAACTCGGACTGAAAGAAGGATATATGTCAGGTGTTGGGGCCAAGCGTCGATATATAGCGATTCATTTTATTGTATTAGCACTTGGAGAAGAAAATTCACAAGCCCTACGAGGCTTTCATTGTTACACAGGTTGTGCCCAAACGCACTCCTTCAATTCTATTGGAAACAAGAAGGCGTTTATGACATGGATGAAACGCCCGGACGTGACACCAGCTTTACTTGAACTCTCCAATTCACAAAGAGGAATAACAGAAAAAACAATTAAAACTTTGGAAGAATTTACTACCGTTCTCTATGACTCCGAAGCACAGGAGAAATCCTCTACTAATAAAATATTTATTTTGTACCAAAAATAAATTACTGCAGTTCCTGTCCCCAATCAAGCAGGTCATGTGTTCAACAGGAGATCTGAGCGATGATGGGGCATTCCCCTTTGATGACTTATATCTTTTTACTTGTAAATACGTTTCAATAATCAACAATTTTTAGTTAAAAACCAAATTCAATGAATAAGTTTCACCTTTGCACTTAGTTTACCTCGACCTGTTTATTCAAAATACTTAAAAATTCATAAAAAATAGCTATTTGTGTATTAAGAGCGCAAAATGATATATTGTCGATTGAAAGAGACATTTGCCGCGCTAATCTCTTGAAATCTACAATCAATTTGCGCTCGAATTACACACAAGATTTTTCTACAATCGAGCAGTTCACATATTTCCAAAAATTTAAATTTTTCACTCAAATATAGATTATTATTTTAATCTTATGCCCAAATGAAAGATGTCATTTACTCGTTGTCATTGGATACTCTGAGCAATGCATATTTGATTTATAGTTTATAATTTGGAGAGCGAGCGTTTTTTTTAAATTTTGTCGCTTATAAGCGACAAATTGACATTCCTCGAAAATTGTGACGTTTGCGTTGTCAAATAGGAGCGCAAATGCCTACTTTGGATATCGATTGTAGAAAAAGGTCTTTAATAGGTCTTTTTTGGCACCCAAAAGAATCTCAAAAACGCCACCTCAACCACGAAAATCGGTCAAACTTTCCAACAAACTTTCGAATCCTGTCGGACGTTAAAGATATCATAAAATCATGCTTCCCACACAGAAATTAGTTTCGGATATAGTTTTTGTCGTTTTCACCCTCGGCAACCTCGTAAACGTCACTCTAAACGTAAAAATCGCTCTAAAAACAGATATTTCCTGAAATTCGCCTCAATTTTGAAAATTGGCGCCATTTTCAATCCTAAGGGACGGAACTTCCTGCTCTGCGACTCAAATCACTCCAATAGGTCTAGGGATCATGTGTTCCAAGTGGCACAATTTTAATACGAAAGGCCGTTTGTTCTCACGGGCCGCTCCCACTACTACCTTAGAATCGTAAAAGTAATAATGACGTTCTCGAGGCGAATGACTAGATTAGATAATAATAATAATAATAATAATAATAATAATGACTTTTATTAGCTACTTACAACTGAATACATGCATACGATACAAAAGAAAACAAATATAATTCTGATAACAATCAGAATTCCGGTGCAGGGTAGGAGACCTCCTCTTCCAATCCATTTGACAGGAGATTATAATGTGGCGGAGCCCCATCTTGCTGAAACTGCAAATTTTATACGTCTAGTAGCATGTCTTCATTGTTTTCCACTCTCCAAAGAGTGTGATCTGTGGGGCTATCACTTCTTTCAATAGATTGTAATATAATTCCGCTGTTAAAACTTCTTGAATGCCCATTAGGCCATTACCGACCCAACAATTGGATTTCAAAGAATACCTACCCAAACAGTGATTGTTTGATTTTCTGTAAAGAGAATTTTATGGCCGTTAAAATGATGTGTCACTCGATGGGGGCTGCATATTATAATTTTAAATTTGTAGTAGTTGAGGGTGAATGCTAAAACTAAGGTCCACTAAATGTCTGGCAAGGTATATGGTTATACTAAAAGGAAGTGTTATTCCAATTTTGATTTTTTAGAAAAATTCAACACATTACAATATAAGGTGATTCGTTTTTGAAAGAAAGTCCTGTATAATGAATATTTCAAGAAGTGGTACACACTGACACCTTCAACGAGGGGTATTACCGTATTAATTTTTCAAAATACCTACCTAAATAGACCTCAAACCCACCGTTACTTCTACGACCCCACTTTTGTAATACACATTTTTAGGTCAACAATATCACAGTGAAGGTAATCGTGAAATTATGAAGCGATAACATTTTGTGAAATTGCTTGTATTGTGAATTGGGGACTTGTGACAAAAATGTTATGATAAGAAAATATGCGCTGAAATAAAGATAGTAAAACTATTTATGTAAGTTATTTGGAGCAGGTAAACTGAAGTAGGAGAAGAGTAACAAGAACAATGAAACTGACCTGACGCAACGGAGGAGTGGGCATGTCTCGAATAAAGATAATAGTCGGCTACGAACATAGTACGTGTCGCTACTCGCAAGTCGCAGATATTTATTATCTTACATCTTACTTCACGTTACATTTCAGCAACAGCGTTCGACTGGATAAGTGGTTTTTACGGTAGTAATCTGATCATCCAAAATGAACAGCTGTCGTACATTTTTGACCAAACAGGTTGGTACTTAAAGTGTAGCTATTATGGGTACGTTAAGTAAAACCCAAATAATGTACTACCTAGGTGCTGCCGACATTCTCCAAAAGTTACAAAAAAACTATCACGACTACTTCATCGAAGTTGCAGCAAACAGAAACCAGTGCAGCAACACAGGTCACGGACTCGCCCAAACCCCTAACATATTTAACGGAAGATGAACAGATGATGAAAGAAACAGGTACACTACAATTGCGTGTAATTTGTTTATAATACAGTGACATTTTAGTGAGAAGATTGGCTGTAGATCAAATCGGTCCACATGTCAGAGATATGGACAGGGATGGATTTATAAAGCAACCCATAATTGATATGCTATTTGAAAATGGGGTAAGTTGTTTTAATGTTTTGACACCTTGCTTCTACTACGCGGTTCCAACTCAAATAAGTATAACTCGTGTGTGGATAATTACATTGCGAATTATTTTGTAACTCGGATATCAGATTATCTCTTTAACTCACATGATTTTTCAATTGCGAACAGAAATGGAAATTATTATACACTTGTCGAATGGACAAGGATAATTACGACAAGGTCACTTATTTTGTTTGGATCTCATTAAATACGTCACGTCTAAACAACAAAACGCACTATTTGTTAACTTTCCATATCCCCAAATAATAAATAAATAACTATGCACTATATACTATAATTAATTATTTTGACCAGTAGGTACTATAGGCATGCTATAGTGTCCATTGCAGGCTAGTAGTCTGTAGACATTTTCTATAAGGGTAGGTATAGCTAGACAAACCAGTATTGGACAAGCAACTTTAAACAGTTTAGGTATTTATAGAACCATCTAACAGCATTCACATGTCCACTCGCCAGATACCTATAATTACTTTATAATAAATGTGTCTTATTATTCAAGGTGAGATAAGCATAAACAGTTTTTTTCTTCTCTCGTCTCGTTTTGATTGTATAGGTATACAAGGGATGCGCGATTATAAATCCCAAATTAGATTTGGTATTTACTAATTATATAATAATAATATATTGATAATCATCAATTGATTGACTCTTGCCAGGATCCTACATCTTTCGTCTTGTTGATACCATATACAGGGACGGATTAATAGAAATATGTGGGTGGGGGCGGAATCCCGGAAAGGGAGGGAAAAGATGAGGGGGGTCCGGGTCCTCCCCCGGAAATTTTTGAAAAAAATACCTTAAAAAGTATAAGATTTAGTGGTTCTAGACCGACAATTTATATGTAAAGAAATATTAGCTTGAACTACTGGAAATGCAAATATTTCAAAGAAAAACAATATTTTGCCGATCGCAGTCATTTATAAAAAATCAAGTAATTATACCTGTTTGGGAAAATTATATCGCAAAATGCAGGGAATGAAACATACAACTCTGGAATTATGAATCAATACTACATAAATACTAAAGCCCTTTTTATCAATTAAATATGCACATTTTAAACATAAGTACCTACTATTTAATTTTTTTCGTTTCATTTATTTAAAAGAACATTTATTAGAAACTCATACTAAAATTGAATGAGCAAGGTACATTTTTGGTGAAAATAAAATATTGCCTTGTTAAAAAAACTGGCAAACGCAGACGAGTAAGTACTTTTTGAACTCGAAAAACACTGGTTGAAACCTACAAAATAACACTGACCAACTCCGCTGAATTGGGTACGCATTTTTGTGTCATTTTGTTCCACAACTTCTATAAAGGACAATAAGCGGAAACCTAGCATCGGCTGGTTTATGAAATCATGTACTTTTGGTT